CATAAATCTCTCCACTATTTTTATGAACGTAAATGAATGCATTTTCATTTCTAATTGAGTAGACATTTATTTTATTTCCTTAAATGTATAACAGTTCATATCAGCCCATTTAAGATTATTTATATGGAAAGGATAGGTTGGATGTTCATGTGTTAAATTAGGTCTACGTTTATAATGGCATATGATCTGTATTCACAAGCTAAAGCAAATCAGTGTTGAAGTAATTTGCTGATTTAATCAGTCATTAAGTGTAGCTGTAAATTTAGCATGACTCACTGACTTTATGGACATATTGGGTCTGGGGTTTTCTGTGTTCAGTATTAGAGCACCTTCAGTTGCCATAAATGCAGCATGATCTACAAAACAAAGGCTTCTGTTCTCTGGCTGGTGCTCATATTGCTCTGATATATAATGACATTTAACTCAGAAAGTGAAAGCTTACTCCGACGATTATTCAAAGTTATTTTATTTAATTTACCCCCCCCACTGTAATCATCCATCTCAAAAGAAGTTTTGTTCCCTTGCCTTCCCGTAGGTGGCTTGTGTATCTCAGACAAATCCCTTTTTCATTTCTTGAAAAGGTTGCCTGTCTTTATATAGCCCGTAACATTATGATTTCATGACAAACTAACTTTTTTTTTTATAAATTCAGTTTCATCAGTATTACAATTTATATTAAAACGATATAATCAGGCATATTAGTGAACTTTTAACTTGCTTTTTTTGTTTTTTTGGGGTTCTTTTACTCCTACATTTTAAATAATTAACACTTTAAAAGATAGTCTTAGCAAAAATGCATTTTTCAAATAATCCTTTTAAAATCTTTACCCCTAAAGCTAATAATTGGCTGTGCAACTCTTGGCAGCAGCCATAAAAATCATAAATGAAGTGTGGTCCACTATTCTTTGCAGACCTGCTGCATTACAGCCATGTTGGAGGGTTTTTTATCCGCCTGTTTCTACTGTTGTAGGAACTTATCAGGATCTAAAGCAGCAAAGCAGCCCACCTCATCAAACTAAACTACAATATTCCACTGTTTGTTTTTAGAGTCTTTTTCCTGAAATATTTCACTTTAGCGTTTTGAGTCCAAATGATATTATCCTAGAAGTCTTCAGTGGATCTTAGAGGCTACCAAATGTGAGACGAACAATTGTTCCTTTGCAGTCAGCAGCAGTTTTGTCCTTTGAGTTGTCCCATTGATGCTATCTTTGCCTACACACTGGTCTTAACTAAGCCAAAAGATGACTGCAAGTCTTTAGATGTTCCCTCTGAATCCTTAAAGCAAGTGTTCTGTCGGATCAGCATACCCATAGTCAATAAGCATAGGCAAGACGTCAGATTTGCATATGCGTATGCTAGTCCCGTTTATCTCTTTAGTTTATTGTACAAATAATTTTTATAAATAATTTTGCATGAAAAATACATTTTAAACTACCTCAATGGGCGTGTATACCTATATACCCCATTTACACTACCCTTGAAAAGCCAATCCATGCCGAGACCGGTCCAAGCTCGGATTAGTTAACCAGGCCGAGCTCGGTTCTGACGACCGTTTACACATCACGCTATCTCGGTTCCTCGCCTCCTAGTGACGATCTGCGGTATTACTGCCAGTATTGGAGGGGGAAATCAAGCAGTTGGTGGTGGTAATGCACCATAAGTTGTTTGGCAACCGCCATAAATCACAAGAAGAAGAAGATGAAGAAGGAGGGAATCAAGCTAATCAAAATGGCGGCCCCCGTCACATTCAGAAAGTTAAGCTTGATTATTATTGCTGTACTTCGGTGTTATTATTTAAAATGTTGCGTGGAGAAGATTTCGATTGTTGTTTATAGTTGTTCTTCTTCTGTTTTGTGTTTTGTCTGCAAGCAACTTCTGGAGGGGCATTACCGCCAACTACTGGAATGGAGTGTGAATCGCGATGTGCAGCCAGACGGAGATGACGCATTCTGCTCATGCGCTCTTGTTATCAGAGAACCGAGCCAGGGAAAAACCAAGCCGAGCCCACCTCTGGAACTAGTCTGCAGTTAGCGCGGTCCAGTTGTTTCTAGCTCGGTTCAGTTCAGTTTGCTTTCCATTTACACACGATAAGTTATCTCAGTTACTGAGCTCAGACCGGTCTCGGCACGGTTTTTCAAGGGTAATGTAAATCGGGTATTAGTCATGTACAAAAAAAACAATTTAATTACTTACTTATTGTTGCTTTTTGAAGCGTATGGAGATCTGGCCATAAACAGTTTTTTCTGCGGCATATGTTCCTTCAGATTTCTGTTGATCGGTGCATAATTTCTTGCGTTTTGAGATCTACTTCATTTTGCCACACTTGTTCTATTGCTTGATTCTACATGACTGGCAGTAATCTGCTCTGGATGCAGCTGGTGAAACGGAACCAAATCACCGCGGATTATCAAAATTATGTGCAATACAATAACATTTCCCAATGGGAGGATGTTGGTCTGAACTGCATTCTTTCCCTCTTCGTAAACTGAATACCTATTGTATTTAATAGCCTATTTCTCTGCGATATTAACATTTTAAGAATGTGCAAGTCTGACAAAAAAGCAAAGCGTTTTAAAACGATCATGTCAAACTTGCTCCTATTTTCTGCCTCACTTGTGTTTTCTCTGAGGAAGAGAGCAGAGCTTCGTGTTGCTGGGTATTAAGGAGGTTGAGTAGATCAATGAAGAAGAGGAGAAAAGAAAAAAAAAATCCACGTTCACAGCCTTGATGATTAAAGACCAAAAAGTTGCATAAAATCTTCCTCTTGATCTGTGGGCTACAAGCTGACAGTGGAATAAATCCTGAATCAGCACTCTCAGGCTGCACATTCATTAGCCCACATCTAAAACACACAGTAATTAGTGAACAGTTAAAGGAAAAAAGTACCCGTCCCCCTCATTAGGTCAGTAATCACCTTTAATAGTGCAGAGGAAGTTTCAGCGGATAAATGATACCGGTGCGTGTCTGTGTGTTTGTGTACTGATGCAGGGAGAGGATTCATACCGACGGTTTTAATCGCACCGAGGTCTCTGCAGGAGATGTACTGTAAAAAGTAAGAGTGGATTCCACAGTTTCCACTCTTGCAAAAGAAAGCTTTGCTAGCATTAAGGAATTAAAGGTAGGGGCAGCCGACTATACTCTAATCTCTTGAAGAGATTAAGATGTTGATCTCAGCGTAGTAACCCCGGTAATTATCAGTTGCGGTAAGCTGCTTAAACTCCTATCAGTGTGCTCTTTTTCGATGAACAAAGGCATTAAAGCACATCTGTGGTAGGAAAATCTATTCCCTATTAATTCTCCAGACATCTATTGATTTATCAGTGCTGATTTTCATTTGTACTTAGGTTACAACGGTTTTCACTCAGGCCTTTTCCACCTGTAAGGCGAATAGTTTCCGTAACAGGACAGACTCCGTCCCCTCAAGCTTTATTTAACATTTTACTGCTTTCTTCATCTTTCTGTACCTTGTTTTGATTGAAAAATGTTGTCTAGATCAGAAGAGGACAGAACATGGAGCTATGAGGGCTGTTAAGATTGATAAAATGAAGTCCCGACTCCCGACTGAGTGAATATCCATCGATCTCGTTTATTTAACCGGACTGGACAGCTAAATACCTTTTTTCTACAACTATCACAGAAAATCAAATAAAAAGGCTAAATAAAAATAAAACTATTCATCTAAAGAATTCTACCCCATAGCATTAATCTGTGCTAACGTAGTTTTGTACCTTGTCTACAACTTTTAGTCTCTTCTCTGAATGCTGCGGACATGACAGCGCCACTCTGAACATAACACATTTGCCCTTTGCTCAGCCTGATGCCTTTTCATTATGTCAAGTACATGACTGCTGCCCGGTTGTGGTCACTCTGACCCAAAAAACAACCAAAAAAGGTGAGCTATTATTTCCTTTGTGCTTCAGCACAAAACCTTAATGTACCTCCGAGTTCACAGAGGACCATTTAGCATTGTTGGTGTTTTGGAGAGAACTCTGCTTTAGTTTGTTTCTGTTTTATGAACAAGTTTCTCAGCCAAATGGGATTTGCACTCTTTAAAAAAAGGCATCCTAATGTCAATAAGCAGAAGATAGAGTGCTTTGCTAAAGTATTCACTTTTCTACTTTTCTACACTTGTCATGTTTTGACCTACAAAGTCATATTTGTTTAGATTGTATGAGACAAGCAAACACAAAGTGGTGCATATTTCTGAAGTCAAGGAAAAGTCAAGGGAGTGGCTTAGAATCCTGAGGTTGTGAGTACGAAACCCACTCCCACAGACTGCCAGTCAGGCTCTCTGAGCAAGACCCTTAACCCCTGATTGCTACCCGGGCCCTGCACAATGGCAGCCCACTGCTCCCAAAAGGGGATGGGTTAAATGCAGAGAGTTCATTTCTCCATTGTTAGATCAATAAAGTTAAATATTTTTCATAATTTTTTTTTTAAGGACATATGACCATTGGAACTACTTTGAAAAATATGTTCAAGTTTAATACTAATTACTACATTGCCCCCTTTAACTTTAAAACCCTTAAATATAATTGCAACCAAGAGCAGAATAAGCTCTCATCCGTCACGGTGTAGTTTAATTTTTATTCATCATCGCAAAGTGGAGGCACGGTGGTGGCAGCATCATACTGAGGGGAAGCTTTTCCTCAGCAAAACCAGAGAAGAAGTGGTTGATGTTAATTTGAAATTGGATGGAGCTAAGTAGAAGGCAGTCCCAGACCTGCTGTGTTAGAAAGGCCTAGTCAAAGTCCAGCTTTAAATCAAATCTTAATCTGTAAATCGATGTTTCAAAGACCTTCTCTGTCTTTGACTTTTTAGCAATTTTTGACCTTAAATAGACATAAAATCTCTATAAAGACCATTCATCCTTCCCAATGACTTCAAAATATGCAAATTATCTGGTTGTAACATTAAGAAATATGAGAAAGTATTAATTTCTCCCCATAAAGTTTCATTCAGCATCTACTGTGTGCAATCTGCTACCCTGGAAGAGCTACCTTGGTGGTGAGGACCTTGAAGCTGCTCTGCTGTGGGACGATGGGGTGCAGAAGGTGGAAGTGGAGGTCGCAGTTCTCCCCCGATGCCATCTGTATGTTAGCAGAGAGCTGGATAGAGAAAATAAATAAATAAATAAACAAACCCAGCAGATTTTAAATGTTATTTGCATTTGTAAACAAAGGATTAGAAAAACTTCCAAGTGGAAAACAATCTGAGGTGACGATCCAACAGAAGGAGTGATAAATGAAACGGATGAATACAAACGGTGAGAGGAGAATATTTTGATTTGATTTGACTGCAGCTCTCAGAACGTGTAAAACAACAAAGAGCGAGTGAGAGAAGGCGTCGGCAGTGCTGAGAGTTTTTTATGCGATGTGGCTGCTGTGATTGTCTGGAGACCTCGACATGTCCCCTTCAGCCACACTCTGATGACCGATGAGTGGGCGAGGCGAGGGTCAGCCTGTCGTTCACCGACGCTGTTGAAGCATTCCCTCTTCATAAGGATGTGACTTCACCATTAGCTCGCACAAAGAATGCTTATAATAGGTGCTCTTTGTTTTTTTTATTCTGCTTTAATAACACATTAAGTTAATATATATATACCCAACTTTCAGTCCACTACTAATGTTTTCTTTAAAGTCCCTTCTTCAGATTTTGAACCATAAAAAATCATAATAAAAGACTTCAATGGAAATGAGAGCTTGGAAATTGAGATAAAACTGCTTTTGGGCAAATCCACAAAACTATCAGAGTTTAAGTATTCATTTCTAGTTGGATTTCTTTCTGTGCCGTCTGTAGGTATACAGCCCGCCGCACGCACAGTCGCAGGGGGGAAAATAAGTGGAACCACCTCCTTTCATCTTTAATTTCTTTTGTATATACTGACCTAGTAAAAAATATATGAACTTATCTATACTCGGCACCACAAAGGGAGCTTAACGAGTGACTGTTATTCAGAGCTAGAGAACTATTTCTTTTGAAATGAGGTAAATTCCGTTTGTTATTCTATTAGAAAAGACAAAGCCGCTCCCTGGGGTGCCCTGCAGTTACCCCTCAGAGAGAGGGAGAGACGAGTGGAAAGACTGAAACGAGAAGAGAAGAAGTCAAAGAAAGGAGCGCTGTCCCTGAAGGGCTCTGCGGCTGATCCTAGATCAGTTATGCCTCCCATCTACAGACAATTAGGAGGTTGGAGGAGCTAGGGAGGGTAAATTGTTCTTAGATCTGTACTTTGGGGGCAATGTTAACAAGGCACCACTGGAGGCATGTTTGGGTCTGTGGGGAGAAGAGGATGTGTATGTGGGTCTATGTATGTGAGAGAGACCCCTCTAATGGGCCCCCAAGAGGAAACACTCGAGCGCTAACCTGTCTTTGTTCCGCACACACAGAGAGAAAACACACCGGCTCCATCTCGGCCAGTCCTCATACCTCTCTTTCCGTGAAGTTGATGCGCACACCGTCCTTGGGAACGTTCTTCGCCATGATGGTGACGATGACTTGTGATTCTGTTTGGTACCAGTCATGCCTGTAAGGGACAGATGACACGTTAACTCCAAAATACATGCTAAGACCGCTTCGTTAGCACCTCTGGTACAATTAAGCGAGAGAATAAATAATGCCTGGAGATTCCAATCTCTAATTGAGCTAATTAAAAAAACAATCCCTCATTAGGAACAACTGACAGAACTATTAGCACCCCGATATTTTCAAAATAAAAATGACAGAAACATTGTTTATTTACATTTTTATTTGCCAAAGCTTTTAGGAACTTAAAACACGTAATCCATAACTTTCTGTTTCCATGGGTTATAAATATGACAAAGAGGCTCAATTTAAGCCTCTGGCTACTTCTGCCCTGTAAGAGGAGCCATATTTAACTTAGCAGCTCCCACAGTGAGCAGGATAGTAAATTAGATTAAATATAATCTCCACAGCTCACTGCTGGAAAACAGCAGCAGAGAGTGGCATGTTGGGGTCACCTAGTCTCCATAGCAACCATTACACACCATCTACACGCCTGCTGGATATTTGTAAGGAAATTACAGGATAAAGTTTTTCTGTCCTGCTATCAGAACAATAAACGTGGAGTTGGTGAAACTTTATTAGGACTCTAATTGGAAGGTCGCTCTGGCATCAAACAACAGCTGAAGATGTGGAAAAGCTCATTTTACTCAATTTAAAGTATGGGGGAGGATCAGTGATGCCGTGGGCCTTGAACCTTGTTGCGGTTTCATCATGAAATGATGAGAGGTTTTTCGGAAATGTGTCTTAAACAAGATGAAAATGACTCCCATCCTCTAACCCTATTCCAACCAGATATTCTAAAGGAAAACGGGAAAACTAAGCTGCAAACAAGCAGCTTTGATCTTGATTAGTGGAAGCTAAATAAAAATGAATAAGGATGACAAACTATAACTAAAATAGCTGACATCTTCCTAAACAAAACCAAAAAAAAGCCGGCTGAAGCTGGTGAAATCCAGGCAAATCTAATCGCAGTCATTTAGGAAGGTGGCTAAGTAATCAGAGTGACGGGAACTTACTCCAAGTTCTTTAAAAAGCTTACTGAAAATTAGAAAAAAAAAATAGCTCTGCAAAAACAAAACTGACTTCAGGTGCGTACAAAGAAAGGTGAAAAGAATTGTTTTTTCCAGAAAAGAAGACCTGCATTTATCAGAGACGAGGTGTACAGCTTTGTTTGCCTAATTTTGCATTGAGAACTATGAGCTCATAAGATTTAAATCGTGTTTTGATCCAACTGATACTAATTTTGATTAAAAGTTACAACGTGAAATAAAAGAAAATTTTAATTAAACGTGTTTGCATCCATTGAAACAAATTAACGAGGCGACGCAAAGTGTGATGTCATCATACGCAGACGTTACTTTTGGTTGTAGTAAACAGGAAGCCGAGTTAGCAAGCTAGCCCAGACCACAGATGGATCATAATAAATGTTTTGTAATCAATGAGTTTTTACTTTATCATGTCAGTTAATATGAGTGATTGTTTATGTTATCTGGAGACGTCGAGAGAGAATTTAAATCTAAAGCTGCATTCGGGACACCAGCGGCAACAGCTGATCAGTCAGGTCAGCTGAATTATTGGCTACAACAGAACTTATTTAACAAATGCATTTCTGTTAGAAATATTTTATTTATACTCCGTTTGTGTTTCATGGGTTGTGTACTAATGAACTATTACGATGTATAATGTGTGATTTATCGTTTATTGAATCTTGCTAAAGTTTGTTCCAGATAAAGGTCATGCAACGGACAGGTTGTGAAAGAGGCCTGAACATCCTCTATCACATGTTTCTTCTAACCATGTGTTCTTGGAACAATTCAATTGTAAAACAACCACATGCTTTGTTTTAACATTTGTGCTGAGGTTTAAAGTAAGATTATTGTGTTTCCCTTTCCCTTAGTTAAACCTCAGCTTGTGTAATTAGGGACATCCCCTGACTTCAATAAATAGTGAGGAGAAAGCTGAAGACTGGCAGAGTGGGGTGGAGATGTGTAAACTCCGCAGTCTCTTCCTACTCTCCTCACAAGTAAATAAATTAATTGTCTCTCTGCCTTCTTTCTTTCCCTGTATGTATGTATGATGTTTTAGGTGCTTAGACCTGACAATTTCCATCTTGTCTTAAACACATTTCCGCTTTTCCAAAGGTCAAAAAACACCTCCAGCTAGCATGAAAACTTCAAGAATTTTAGTACGCTGGTTTAAACTCTGCAGTTTCCATCGAGTTCTGCTAATGTGATACTTTAAACTGTGAATAATAATTAAAAACTTTAAAGGTTGATGGAAACACGCCTATAGTCAATTAAAACCTAACAAACAAGAGGGCAATGTGAAGTGATCAGGACAGAGGATTATCAGGAAGGATGGATGGTTAAGAGGTCCTTTCTCTGTAGGCTACAACCCTGGAACATTTTTCTCAGACCAGACAAAGTGGTGTCCTACTATCAGAAAGGGTGCCAATAATCCTGCCTCCAGTAGATCTGTTAAAAGCTGTCTTAAGATGTTTGATTTTTCCAACTTACAGAACAAAGTCATGCTTCTGCACTAAAATAAACATTTATCTTTAGGCTTCCTACACATTTTCATACTGAGACTGCTTTGATTCTCATCTTGTCATCTTTATTTCTTTAACATTCAACTTCTTAACACAAGAAATTCCACATGTTTACATCATTATGATTTGATAAGTATGTAATGGAGAGCTGAAGGTTTGCATAATAAGGGATAAAGAGTAAAAACACAGGACTGGAGGTTCTGGCTTACTTCACAGGTGGAGTCGCTAGTGTCTGCTGGGTCATTCAGCACCGATGATGATTGGAGGGAAAGAAGAGGAACAAAGACACAAACAAGAAACAATAAGCAGGCAAGAAAGAATATAGAAAAAAGCTCTAAACGAGCCTTTTTTCTGCCTTCTTCAAAGCCAGGCAGCCATCTGATGCCGAGAGCAACACTGCCCCCAAGTGGCTCAACAGAAACTCACCGTGGTAACGCTGCCGTTCTGTGTCTGAGCTGTGAATAGAAAGACAATAGAAACATCAAACTCCTCCTCTGCCGTTTTAATACAACAGTCTGTAAAACATGGTGCATAGGACTTTAAATATTCAGCCACTGCATGGATGACTGATGGCAAACAGACATGGCTCCACAGTCGGCCGAGCCTCTCCAGCGGTTTGTTTGCTGGTCCGTCCACGCCCATTAAAAGCCCCCATGAGCCCTAGGAAGCTGGGGCGGCATTTAACCAGCGTGCCATCATGCATTATTCACCGGCCTCATCGCGTAACGCGCTCACAGAGAGGGATGAGATGATAGGCGGCGTGCTAATGTTGTCTTAATGAGGTCGTGCTTGAAACAGGAGGAAAAGCGGGGCTGTGGGGAACAGTTAGGAAGAGACGGGGAAAAGTTGTGTGAACTCTGACACTCTGTGTGCCTCAAGTGATGAAATAACCATGTTCCATATGTGTTGGTGTGTAGTAAACACCCTGACACTTCAAGAAGCAACTGCTTGCGGTGTGCATGAGTAACGGTGGATCTGTGTGTGCGTGTAGCGCTATAAAGGGGCTGGGTCTCACCGGGGGCTTTCAAACATCAGTAACGTTAACTCTGATGAATCACAGACCTCTCAGGGGTACGTGTGCACGCCGGTGTGAAGCGCGTTTGTCAAAACTCCTGCTCCCGTTTACTCGAGATGATCCAGAGGGCCACAGCATTGCCGGCAAACAGAAGCGCTGAGCCCTGACGAGGCATGCATCTTTCATTGGACGGGGCAGCGCTGCCCCCAACAAGGGGAGCACACACACACACAGACACAACAGAGGCATGCATATGTTGCATACTCATTTGTTTGATCAGATAAGCTGATCTGCTCCCTGACTGCACCGTTTAGTTTCATGTTTGACGGCGGCAGTGAACACAACGCACGGCCTAATTTACAACAAGTGAGGCTCAGCCGAGTCACGGATGACTGATAAGCAGGAGAGTTTACATGTCACTGCTGTCAGCCATGCATCCAGGTGCAGCTGTAAACGGTGCATAAAAATCTGCAATAGTTTCATGTCACATGGGATAAAAATATAGCTGGAGTTATAGGACAGATGTGTGTGCTACTTACCCCCCATTGTCTCTTCGCACCGCTTTATCCAGACTTCACATGATTTGTCAGAATCTGCACAAACAGGCATAAAATATGTTGTTTTATTATTTTCCTCAAGAATTTGTTAGTTTTTCTCGACAATATGATCTGTAATATTGGCTTCAAAGGAACCAGATGGGGTTAGGAGGTAAAGGAAACTTGTTGGTCGCATCATATTTTTTGTTTTTTTGTCATTATTAATCTCAGACTAATGCTAACCTAGGTTTTACCAGACCTCATTTTAGTTTTAATGCATTTAATCTGTAATTGGCACAAATAGAACAAAGGCCACTTTAATCTAAACGGTTTTAAAGAATCCTAATGCAGACAAACCGAGAAAGTGTTGTTTTTTACAGGTATATATATATATATATAACAGGAAGCGTCACAAATACTACAGTTTAAACAAAGTACCCAGAGGGTAAGCTCTGACCATTAATGCAGGTTTGAAAACAGAGGGAGGCAGGTCTCACCAAATGTGATGATACCTAAACATCTGGTCGTGCACAAAACGTGCGAGTGGCGCTTCAGAATAAGGGTGGGGTTAGGGACATATCTACTGCAATCTCTCCTACATAGTCTCCATTCTGTCAGTGTTGGTGTCATGGGGGATTTCAGGAACCTTGGTAGGATGCTAGTAGCCTCCAATCCAGTAGGAGGGATCAGAGCCACCTTTTGTTTCTCCTTATTCTTTGTTACACCTACAGTATATTAATCTAAGTGATCCCCCACTGAATAAGCCTCTAGGATTGGGGGAGAAAAGTCTTCTAGAAAATTTTGTGTCCAGTTCAAAAAAGTTAAAAAGCAATCCACTGGACTTTGTTTCCAATTTGGAAGACGTTTCACTTTCCATCCAGAACGCTTTTTCAATTCAAAATGTCAGAAATATTGTCGACTTCAAGGCTTTATAGAGTAGACCAAAGCAAAGTCTCGTTTTGGCTTAGAAAACATGCAAATTGACGAGCGGGTCCCCCTCTTTGGAATGGGGGTCGTTTTGTTTCTTTGTTAGCCTGTAATACCCGAACCCTGTCTATGTCTCTGAAAGGGGGGTCGTTAGAGGAAATAGTTGGCCTGGCTGAAGTGGCAAGGTGCTCTGGTTTCCTGTATGAGGGTGGGGTTGCGATGATAGCGGGAAGGAATCAACTCAATCGCTTAATTGAAGGTTTTGGAAAGCTTACATCCACCCCCTCTGTTTAAGCATGGTTTTTCTTTAACAAAGATGGCTTCCTTCACACCTCTCTCAATCCACCTATGACCTGGATGACTGAGAATCTTCACAGATAGAAGCAGATGTTATTCCAACTATCCCAACTGATTCTGCCCTTTGGTTGATGTTTTGGTTTGATCCTATAAAAAGGGGGGGAATGTGGAGATGCCAATCCAAGCCACAAGTATTTAACAAAATGCCTTATAGATAAATAAATGTGTCAATTAATACATGAAACAAAAGTAAAAACTAACTAAGAGTTTGTTAAAGTACAGTCAAAGGGTACTGAGTCCAGAGTAAAGTGTTACTATATTGCTTGAATTATTCTATATTGCTTAAATGTTTTAAATATCCGTATGTCCAAAGCTGTCGTTGGGTGCACTTATTTTTCACATTACTCTAAAAAGATCAGAAGCAAAATGAATCTATTCAGCTGCATGAAAGCTGCTCATTCATTTATGCATGCAGAGCATCCAATAAGCAGATGTGGGTTCACTCTAGTCTAAATCTGTCCTAAAATATTTATGAAGAGAAAAATTTGGTAGACAGGCATGACCTTCAACATTTATTAGCTTACATAAAATAGTTTAAAATAAATCTCAGGCATCGAACCCAACTTGTAGATGGTCCAAATCGGAGTTTATTGCAGAAGAATCCCAGCATTATGGGTCATTTTAAAGGTTAAGAGCATTTAAATAAAGTAAATGAAAACAAGTTGTTTTCCAGGGTGCTGTGAAAGCACAGCTGGGAGGAAGCTGATCCACAGTGACTGTACTGAAAAACGTAGTAAATATATAACCATAAATCTATTTAAAAAAAAATGATGGATTAATGTACTGATGCTGATGGTTTACTGTGGGCTATTTCTTTTCATTTATACATCTTTTTCTTTTTCTTTTTAAAGAGCCGGTACCAGCTGGGTCACTTGTTTTTTCAAGATAATAAAGACTGTTTCACGTGACCAAAAAAATTAATGAGGTGAGTTTATAGTCTGCAGCTGCTCAGGTGTGACTGTGGTGTCTTAGACCCATGTAACTGTCCAGAGCAGATGTCTACAACCTGCGGTGCTAGAGCCACAAGTGGATCCTTCAACCTTCAACAATGGCTCTTTATAATGTGGGGAAAAAATAATGTATAAAAGAAAAAAAAAAGATTTATACTCGGGGGAAAAAAATCCAGATTTTTGCATTTTTTTCCAAAGGAAAATTTGCACTTAAAGGTATGTGGAGGTAGCCTCGTGAGACCATCCTGATCTCGCGAGCTTTCAAGATTTCACTCGCTAATCAGTCTGGAGACTCTCCGTT